GCCTTAGGTCTGAAATGGAAGCTTCCTATGGGCCACAGAGTTCTGGCCAGGTAGAGAGATAGAACCAGACTTTGAACTCTACCCTAGTCAAGCTGTGCCAAGAGACTGGGGAAAACTGGGTGACTATGCTTCTGATGGCCTTGCTGAGGTCCCGATGCATCCCGTACCAGGATGGGCTCACTCTTTTTGAGATCATGTTTGAAAGGCCTTCCCCATTTTTGCCCATCTTAGAAGGACTTCAGGAGATAAGGACTCTTGATGAACTGGGGGAGCACCTTTGTGAATACACCACTGTGCACCCCCAAGTGGACTCTATTGGCCTTCAGCGAGCTGGGCTGGCCTCACTGCATCTCCCATTTGACCAATAAGATGTTATATTTATAATCCCCCTATGTAAGTTTTGGAACCCCGATGGGTGGAAAGACAAAGCCAATCCTGAGACTCACCCTTTCCCTGCATGTGAGATTCATAAAGAAGCAATTGCAGGAGTTAATGATGACAGAGACTTGGTAAAGTGGGGACTCTCTATGTGTGCAAAAGCATGGGAGGAAGATATGAAAGGAGTTCAGAATATGGTCAGGCAGTTACATGACCAGGTGAATTCCTTGGCAAAAGTAGCATTAGTGAATAGAAGAGGACTCAATGTACTCTATGGAACAAGAAGGGCTATGTGCTGCCCTTATGGAAAAATGCTCTTTTTATGCAAACAACTGTGGGGTCATCATAGAAATATTTGACAGGTTGAATAGAGAAACAAAGGAGAGGAGAAAGAAATATTACAACCACCAAGGCTGGTATGAGGGACTATTCCACTGGGGCCCAGCATTAACTTCCCTTACTGGCAGGATCACAGGGCCCTTAGTGATTATTGTGGTGGTCCTTACTTTTGGGCCATACATAATTAATTGGGTTATAATAGGATCCAAAGCAATGTAAACCTAGCACAGGTGACGGTTCCAAAGGGCAGCACCAATTATAGAGTGGAAACCAGACCCACAATGTGTGAAAAAGACTGTGTCCTGAGAAAAGAATATATGTCTTTGACAGAGAAATGATAGGGCTAGAGAGACTCCGTATAACTCCACTTTAGAAGTCACTTAAACTAGATGAACTCAACTCTCCACTCCCTCCCTGATATCTATAAAATGAAAAACAAATAGTTAAATTTTAGATAAGCTAACATTTAACTGTACCACACACGTTTTGACCATGATATGGCATTTTTGTAAAATTCCTAAATGAAATAATATGGTTAGCATGGTTACTTGTAAACATATAAAAA